AAAGAATCCAGGAACAAAAGAAGAAGTTAATACAGTTTAATTTTGTTCTTCTTTTATTTTTTACATTTGTAAATAAGGATTTCTCTCACTTATAGGAAAAGTATCCCCCAAACCCTCTTTTGGTTCCCTCAAAGGCAGTACGTGAATATCCACGTCCATTGGGAGCACCTGACCCTGGCCCCATCCTATTCCTGGATTCCCCACCCTTAAATCTCTTCAAGTTTGGTCATTTCTGTTTCTGCCGTTAATAGAACACTCTGTCATGACAGCTTCTTGTATTAAATAACAGTATTGATTCTTGCTATTCAGGGTAAAACAATTAATTATGGGAGATAATCATAGAATTTGAAAACCGAAGATTCAGGACGACTACTTTAGAACATTTAAAATCACTAAGTTAAACAAAGCTAACAGGTTTTGTTGCTGCAGGACTTCTCAGGGCCTTTACTATTTAATGTTCAATGTGTAACTCCAAAGGGTATCATAGTCAGCAGTGTTCTCCAAACATTTTCAAATGAAATTCTTGTTTTGTTTTCTAAAACATTTACAGGTTAATGGGTTCCATAAAATACGTTTTAGAAGGCAAGGTGCACTGGCTCACACTTGTAATCCTAGCACTCTGGGCAACTGAGGCAGGTGGATTGCCCGAGCTTAGGAGTTCAAGGCTAACCTGATCGAGAGGGAGACCCCCATCTCTAAATATAGCCAGGCATTGTGGCGGGTGCCTGTAGTCCCAGCTACTTGGGAGGCTGAGGCAAGAGAAGCGCTTGAGCCTGCGAGTTTGAGGTTGCTGTGAGCTGTGATACCACAGCGCTCAATGAAGGGTGACAAAGTCAGACTCTATCTCAAAAAAAAAAAATACATTTTAGAAAATGTAAAATCTAATATATGCAACAAAAATTACTAAAGACCTTTCGATTTTAATATATTTCATTATCTGTTCATGTCTATGTGTGGCAATATGCAAATAAAGCCAGAAACAGGAACCAATGAGAACCGCTTCAATGATATGCCATAAAAATCACATTCACTGTCTACAATATGTAACAGGAACTTTTAAAACTAGCACAGGTATATATTCGTCACCTACCATCTGATCTACAAAACCCAGAGAATTCAGATGCATTTAACAAGGGGAAGGTCACACAGACTGTGTTACATCAGTGGAATTCTTGTCTTTGGTTCAGCTGTTTCGGAATTATAGTCAATAGAATAGTGAGACAGTCAAGAAGGTACAATTGACACTGCCAGCAACAAAACCAGGCTTCCATGGGAACAAAGGCCATGGTGCTTTGAGTCTGAATGTAAGGCACAGAAAGCAAGCAAGGTCACAGGCTTAGGGTGAACCCGAGCGCTGCCTTTATTCCATGAGGTCCCTGAATTATACAGCTTGTGTAAAAGGGACTCCCTGAACGAGAAGGAATATCTTTCTGTCTCTGCAAGTATTCTTTAAAACCACAGGAATGAAACACAGCTCGTTAGGCTCCCTGTGAAATTCTCTGTCTATAAGCCCACGGGGCTCAGGCTGTTGCTAAATAATCACACCTGGGCCTTTCTCTTGCGTACAAACCTTGGCCTAGTCTAGGTATGTGGCTTATGAAGCCCAAAAGACAGAACAGCTGGCTGGGGGCCATTATAGATTTCCCACAAGGTGGAAACCTCTGTGGGAAGACTGGATCAATGGACCCACTCAGCATGTAACCCCTGTCCTGCTGAAGAGGCAGACTCTCCACTGTAGGTAAAATTCAGGATGTTTCCTTTCTGCAGGGACGCTTTACCTTCTCATTTTAAACCAGACAGTTCTTGTTATTAAAAAAGAATAGTGTTTTATAGAAATTTCCTCCCACAAAACCTAAAGTGCCCTAATTAAAATGTACTCTTTTGATACTACAGCATGCCCAAGGAGGTGCTGGAAGAGTTTTGAAGGGTGGGCCAGGTAACTCTTCCATTTTACATAGGGATTGTGCGATAATTCATCTGGCAATTTTTGTCCATGTAAAACACGGACAATATCCAAATGGTAACTGGGATAAGAGTTTGAGATAGCAATCTGTGAAAAAGGATAAAATGGTTTCCCTGTGATCCACTTCCTCACTAACATGTTTCCTACGTGCAGGATAAGAGAAAACAGAGCTGAAGGAATCAGTAATGTGAAGAAAGAAAATGATGGGGCTGGGAGAGGAAGAAAGGGAGGGAAAGAATATCTTCTTTCCTCCCACTTCAAGCATGTCCTCACTGTGCTCCCACTGAAAAATTTTCAATCTATTTTCTCTTTAAGAAAAATAATCCCTATATGAAAACGGAAAAAAACAAAAGAAGATAAGCAGAAAGAAGATAGTAAGTACTTATAACTCAAGCCTCCATCACTGAAACATTAGTATACATTCTTCTGGACTTTTCGGTATACCTATACATGCCAGAATTATATTTCCTTTTTCCAAAAAAAGGATCACACCTATATATTGTTTTGTAACCTTTCAATTTTACTCAATGATGTGCATGTGGACATCTTCCTATGTCTGTAAGGAACAGAGGAAGCCTTCCTAAGCCAGACCACTCCATCTGGAAGGTCAGTGAATCACCAGGGAGGGAATTCAGATTCTGGGGCCAACCAAGGTAGGACTCAAGTCTCAGCTTGCCTGTTTTGTAACCGTGTGACCCTCAGGGAGTTCTTTAATGTCACTAAGGCTTAAGTTTCTCAACTATACAACAGAGATCACAGTAATATCATTCCTTAAGTTGCTGCTAGAATTAAATGAAACAGTGCAAGTAAAGTACCTGTGACAGTTACGTGCTCAGTGTAAGGTAGCTATTATTATTATGGCTGAGTACTCTATTTATATTGCTTTAAAAAGAATCTAATCCTCTATTTTGAGCATTTAGGTTATTTCTAACTTTTTAAAAACTTTTTATTTTGAAATTGTTATAGACTTACAGGAAGTTGCAAGGAACAGTTTAGAGAAATCCTATGTACCCTACATCCGATGTCCCCCAGGGATCACATCTTACATAACTATGGTATGATATAAGAACTAGGAGACTGGCTCGGCGCCTATAGCTCAACCGGCTAAGGCACCAGCCACGTACACCTAAGGTGACGGGTTCGAATCCCCAGCCCGGACCCGCCAAACAACAATGATGGCTGCAACCAAAAAATAGCCGGGCGTTGTGGCGGGCACCTGTGGTCCCAGCTACTTGGGAGGCGGAGGCAGGAGACTCGCTTGAGCCCAGGAGTTGGAGGTTACTGTGAGCTGTAATGCCACGGCACTCTACCCAGGGGGACAGCTTGAGGCTCTGTCTCAAAAAAAAAAAAAAAGAACTAGGAGACTGACATTAGTATAATCTACAGATCTTATTTGGATTTCACCAGATTTTTAAATGCACTAATTGGTTTATATGTTTGTGAGTAAAAGTCAATGCAATTTCATCACAAGTGCAGATTCATGTAGCCAGCACCACAGGTGACAGAACAGACAGAACAGCCAGCACAGCAGGTGACAGAACTTCCCATCAGCACAAAGATCCCTTGTGCTGCTCCTTTCTTTCTTTCTTTTTTTTTTTTCCAGACAGAGTCTCACTGTGTTGCCGTTGGTAGTGTTCCGTGGCATCACAGCTCACAGCAACCTCAAACTCTTGGGCTTAAGCAATTCTCTTGCTTCAGCCTCCCAAGTAGCTGGGACTACAGGTGCCTGCCACAATGCCCAGCTATTTATTGGTTGCACTTGTCATTGCTGTTTGGCAGGCCTGGGCTGGGTTCGAACCTGCCAGCCTGGGTGTATGTGGCTGGCGCCCTAGCCACTGAGCTATAGGTGCCGAGTCCCTTGTGCTTCTCCTTTATAATCACACTGATATCCTTCCCCTTTCCTTCCTCCCTGCTCCTAAGCTCTGGCAATCACTAATCTCTTCTCCATCTCTATAATTATATCATTTCAAAAATGCTCTATCAATTGAACTGTATACTATGCAGCCTTTTGAGATTCTCTCTTTTCACTCAGCCTAATGTTCTTGAGCCCCATCCAGGTTGTGGTGTATAACAATAGTTTGTTCCTCTTTATTGCTGAGTAGGAGTCCATCGTATGGATGTATCACATTTTCTTTAATCATTTCTCTGTTGAAAAACAATTGAGTTTGTTTCCAGTCTTTGGCTAACACAAAGAAACTTGCTCTGAACATTTGTGTATATATTTTCTATGTTTTTGTGTAGACATGCATTTTCATGTCTCTGGCATAAATGGCCAGGAATACCAGTACTGATTTGTATGGTAAATGTGTGTTTCATTTTATAGAACAAACTATTTTCCAGAGTGGCTGTAGCATTTCATACGGCCACTAACAATATATGAGAGATTCAGGTTCTAGGCATCCTCACCTGCATTTGATACTGTATTTTCTTTTCACTTTAGCTGTTCTCATAGGTGTGTAGTGCTACCTCATCATGGCTTTAATTTGCATTTCTCTAATGGCTAATGTTTCTGAGTACCTATCTCTAATTTTTGATGTAATAAACAATGTTACAGAAGATATCTGTAGATGAATTTTAAGTTAATTAATTCCAAATAAACTCTTCAAAATGAACCTGCTGGATGGGAGGATTTAAAAGATACAGTAGAACCTCTATAGTTGACCACCTCCCTACACTAACCACTATCTTAAATTGATCTAATTTTCATTTGTTACAGTTTGTTACAGTCCCTTGGGTGGTCAACTGATAGAGGTTCTCCTGTAGTTGCACATAACATCATCCTGCCCTCCAGAAGAGGGCCATTTGCACTTTTGCAGTATATAACAATCTCACCAACTCTCTAAAGAGGTTAAAAAGAAACTGCTTGCCAATACACTGTCTACTTCCAGAGAAATAAAATAAAAATTAGGTTCCCCCCAAATATTAATAGAGTAGAAAAATGAACCAACTAAAAATACCCTCTCCAAAGACATCCCCCATTCAGACATGCAATTAACGTTTTTATCAAATACATTAGGAAAAAAGAAAACTCATTTACCTTTATGGGCAATATGACACAGATCTTCCTGCATTTTAGAGAACTCTGATGAGGTTTCAGAGCCATCGGAGTAATTTTTCTCTTCTCCAAAATCTAGTGTTGACAAATTAGGATTGGAGGAGTGCAGTCTTACTGGACCAAAAAAAGGTTTAGGGACCTAAAGTGACATCAAAGGGAGATAGTTGCTTTCAGATGAAGATGGCTTAGAATATTTACTTGGTTCTAAGATCAGAACATAGTAAGAAAAGAAGATTGTATAGGGAAGTCTTTCTACTGAGTGATCACTTATGAGAAAAATAAATGAAAACTCAGGAAAACTCCACAATATGCTTCTTATGAACTATAAATGGGTAAGAAATCACCTATTCTTCTGGAAAGGTCAGAAGCATTAAAGCTATAGGTTGAAAATGACAGCTCAAGCTGCCAGGATTTCTCATTTATACTCAATTTTTTCCTCCTGGCAATAATCAGCCAGTATCTAGGCTGTTAGTAGTAGATAGGTTTAAAATGCTTTGCTTTTTTTGCACCTGGGGCTTCTAAACAACAAAGGAACTTTGTATATGGAACATTCTTTGTTTTAAAATTCAAGTTCAACCCCTAATGTGGTTTGAACTAAAGATGTATAGGAGTCTATCAGATGATTTATTCAAAAGCTTGGGATTTATTTTGATTCTAACAAACTTGCACTTTAATATGCAACAGCCAAGCTGTTCATCTTGGCTTAGCTGGGCCTTAAGAAAGACAGAGCCTAGCATGACACCGTGAACCTCTGATGGGGGTTGGGAATTTGGAGATAAGAGGCAAAGGAGTATCTGTACAATACTGTGTGTCCAGAAAATCAGGCCCGTGGGCTCTACAAGGATGACAGATCCACTGAGCGTCAGCAGAAGCAGTAGGTGAGAGCACACAGCAACAGCAGCCACAAAACAAGGCACACACTCCAGCAGGAAGGAGGACTGGCACACTAAACATTAGAGAGGGGGAAACCAAATATCCTAGAAATGGCAGCAGTCCCTGCAACCTCAAGCCATTATTCCCTTAGAAACTATTCTCTCCCCTGCCCAAATACCTACTACATGCTTATCCTAGTACCCAGAAAATCTACGTGATTGAATCCATCTCCCTGTAGAGGCCAGGGGAGAGAACAAGTAGAGGGTTTACTTGTCTGTCAACCTGCTGGAGTCACAGTAGCCTCCGCACACCATGTGCAGAGAAGGGCCAAAGAAGAACCAGTCTTTTGGGGAAGCGATGGTTACCTGCAGCATTCCTTTAGCATCTTTGCCAATAGCTCTGGACCGCCACCTCCTGTGCGATCTTTTTTCCTTTTTGGGACTTTCAAAAGCTCCGCCCTTTGTTTCAAAACAGGAAAGAGAGCACAGACAGTAAGGTCCACCAAACCAATAGGGGATAAATGCATAGCAAAGTGATCACCTCCATCCCCTTGAGTTTGGCTGAAGCAACTGACCAGACAACATTCCACTGTTAGTCAAAGGCTGGGCAGGAGAAAGGGAAGGAGAAGGTGCCAGAATGCAGACGGAAGAGGGGTGTGGCTAACCTGGATGGCATTGATAGCTGGTGCCGAGTAGGTCCGATGCAGGACGTCCATACTTTGTAGGAGCTGGCTCATTTCCACCAGGTAGGCATGGCAGTGTGCCAGGTCTGAGGGGCAAAAAGGAAGTGCTCATAATTCTGCACTAGCAAGCAGGATCACCATGCTGGGGCCAGCTACTTTTCTTATTTATCTCTATTTGAGTTTTCATCTGCAAGGGTAGGAAATTTTATGTCCTTTTTTGCAGGAAAGGTTGTGATCTAGGGCATGGATCTTGAGAACCAGGCTACTTCAATTGGAATCCACTTAATGAGCTGTGTCTCTTGGAAAGGTTACTGAACTTCTCTGTGCCTCAGTCTTCCTATCTGAAAAAGGGGGTAATCACACATCTTGCTCACAGGATAGTTGTGAGAGTTGAATGAGTTGATAGGATATATGCAGAGTGCTTAGAAGAGTGCCTGGCACATACTAAGAACTGAATGAATCAGCCATCATCAGCATCAGCATCATCGCTATTGGTAAGCCTGCAACAATGGGCTGCCACTCTCTACTGTAAGGACCCAGTGCACATTATATGAAGAAAACTCAAATAAAGGTCGTGCTGGTCTCTAAGGGCAACTTTATCAATCACGGACCTGCCTCAGGGGCACGACGAACCTCTGCAGATGGCCCTGAGAGGATATAAAGGGACTCTCAGGCCAATTATAGTCACTAACTTAAAAGAGTTTGCTATGCACTGGATGCCAGTGGATGTTTTTGCTTAAGAATAAAGGTCCAAATGCCTTAGGAGAGTGGCTCGAAAACTTTGTCATGGGAATCAACCTGGAGACCTTGTTAACCTGAAGTTCTTTGGGCCCCCACCCCATCTCTGATGCAGTACCCTGCGGTTGAATTTGCATTTCTAACAAGTGGCCAGGCCAATGCTGCTGGTCCAGAGACAACACTTCAGGGAACACATTGACAAAATGTCACTCAGAAAAGTTGTGAGTGATATTTATCGGAAGGGCAAAGCCTACATGGCCCCAGGGTTAATACAATCTGTATTCAATAAAAGAAAATGCAATTTTTCAGGGAAACCACCCAAAATCTTTCTCTGGTGATTCTCAATTGTGGCTACACATTTAAATCAACTGGAGAAATTTTTTAGATTACATATGCCCAAGTCTCACCCCCAGACAATTAAATCAGAACACTCCCAATCCTACTGGGGATATTTTCTTTTCTTTTTTGTTATATATTTTTTCTATTGGGGATATTTTCATTTCTGAGTTTCCAGGGTGAGTCTCAGCTAACTAAGGTTGAGAACGCTGAGCTTCCTTGTAACAGTAGAGTTCAACCCCAGCTCCTTGTCAAAAATCAAGAGGAACTTGGGGAACTTTGGAAATTTAGTGACTCCATGGCCCCACTTCAGACCAATTTAAAGAGATTTGTTGGGAGGGAGGCCCGAGCATGGGCATTTCTGCACAGGACGAGTCCTCTGGAGGCTCTAATGTGCAGTAGAGAAGACCTGCATCACGGGGCTCTCCATCTGGCCACTGTCTCACCTCCAGAACTGATTCTCAACCTTGGATGTACATCACAGTCATTTTTGGCACTTAAAAAAATACAGCTGTGCAGACCCCCACCCGTGGGGACTATGGTTTATAGGCCCATGTGGAAATCAGCCACCAGCACCCAAGGAATAGCAAAGGAAACCTGTCTGCATGCACAGCCAGGTGAAGATGAAAAGCTCGTCTAGGAGCGCATCTTTAGGCCCGGTGTAGTGGTTCAGGCCTGTAATCTTAGCACTCTGGGAGGCTGAGGTAGGTGGATTGCTTGAGCTCAGGAGTTTGAGACCAGCCAGCCAGAGTGAGACCCTGTCTCTAAAAATAGCCAGGTGGGCTCCATGTCTGTGGCTCAGGTGGCTAAGGCTCCAGCCACATACACCTGAGCTGGCAGGTTTGAATCCAGCCCAGGCCTGCTAAACAACAACAGCTGCAACCAAAAAAACCAATGACAGCTGCAACCAAAAAAATAGCCAGGTATTGTGGCAGGCGCCTATAGTCCCAGCTACTTGGGAGGCACTTGAGCCCAGGAGTTGGAGGTTGCTGTGAGCTGTGATGCCACAGCACTCCACCCAGGGCAACAGCTTGAAATTCTGTCTCAAAATAATTAAATAAATAAATATTAAAAAAAATAAAAATAGCCAGGTTGTGGTGGGCACCTGTAGTCCCAGCTACTCAGGAGGCTGAGGCAAAAGAATCTCTTAAGCCCAAGAATTTGAGGTTGCTGTGAGCTATGACACTATAGCACTCTACCAAGGGGCAATAAAGTAAGACTCTGTCTCAAAAAATAAAAAAAATAAAAAAAGGAGCAGGTCTTTGTTGATGATGAGTGCAACCTTCACAAGCAAAGTAGAGATAGGACAATGGACAGGCCCGGGGGCAGGACGCAAATGAGGTGTGTCATCAAACCAGCATCATTAAGAGCCATGACAGAAAGGAGCAGAGATTTTAAGTCACTCTACCTTTCGAGCATTTTTCCATGTCCTCTGAAGACTGTAACCATAATGGAACTCGTGTCTCACCACCACAAGAAAATGACAAATTGCTTCCAGCTTGAAATGAATTCTGTTTTGATATACTGCTACGCTGTTCCACAGACAACAAAAGCACATTATAAATGAAAACAGACCAGCGGGGACACTTTAGGGTCAAGGATAACAGAGTGGGCTGGTGGCTAATGGACACCATCTGCCTGTGATGTTGAAGAAGCTTCTGGCAAAGTATGAAGGCCTCGGGTTATACCCCAGCTTGGCCATATTATATTATGAACCCTTGGATGGCAATCCTTAGTTTTTCTTTTGTCAAATAACAAATAAATGTCTGGAAATATCTTGCAATCCCAAAATACACCATAAACAGACCTACTGTATTTTACAACCAGAAAAAGAAACCAAAGTCAGGTCGAACCAGTTAGGAGAAAGGGAGTGCATTCAGATAAATTCCTCTTTACATGCTCTTCTTCAATCACTGCTCATCTGGTCCTGGTTCTGACTCACTGGGCAAACAGACTAATTAAATATCAGCCCAGGCTTACCCTGCACCCCGCCCCCAAACCTTTCCTTCCTCAAGCTCAGCTGCTGAGATGGAACAACCTCCACACGAAGCACCCCCTCCTTTCAGATTCATTATTGGCAAAATACTCCCTACCTTCCTACTTGAAATGGAGTCAAACACTGCAGATGCAGAGTCTGTGACCGTGGACCCTGAGAAAAAGTGATTAACTTCATGTGGAAACATGGCGATTTCATTCTGACGATACATTCGGTGATGACGGAGCTTGGATACCCACTCATCAAAGACTTCTTCTGACTTCACCTAAAACGTGTGAAGTTGAAAGAGGGAAAGAAGAGAGTCACTCACAGGAAGGAACGATTATTCATCAGATTGAGATGACTCCTGACATCCTCTTTTTAAGTTGGCACAAGTAGAAATAGCCTCGTAGTGACTTGGTTTACTTGCGTTCTAGCCTACAGAAACACATTTGGGGAGGAAATGGAGAGTAAAAATGATCTTCATAAAGCATATACTTAGGCTTTCTATGAAAGAGCCCGATTGTTATGCTATTTTTAAGAAAGCAAAACAGTGCCAGTTATGTTAAACAACAGATGAGCGGAAAGTTATATTTATCTGTCCCTAAAGCATTTCCAAGTTCTTTAATCCCAGCTTCTCTTATCCCTACTGAAAATATTAGCACCATTTTTCTTTTTAAACTCTTTTATAATTCAGACATGTCAGATCAATCATCTCTGAACTAGAATGAATTAGTAAATTCTTCCTAAAATATTTAACCTTGCTCATCGTCTCTGACAAAGACGACGCTGTAGAGGAGGGTGTGTTAATGAATGCGAAGGTTATTCAAAAGAACATTTCTCCCACTCTCAGAAAAAAACTGGCAAAGCATTATACAGCACTATATTTTTTTTCTATTTTTATTGTTACCTACTCACATATAACCATTCCTTCCATAGATGACTATCAATTTCTAATTTACTCAAAGAATAAGGTTCGTAACTAGTATTTATTTTTATTAGAAAATATTTCAAATATTCATAAAAAGACCAAAAAGAATGTAACAGACACCCACGTATCATGGCTATTTCTTTTAAAAGTCAATAATTGTGTGTGTGTGTAAGACAGTATTAATATTTTCAATGGGAAAACTGATAGGACACAGATATTTAGGAAGCTGCAATTTAAGCCAAAAGGATGTATGGTAGGTTAACTTCTAAGATGAAAAATCCAGGTTAATCCTATGAGGCACTTTCCTAATGCCACAGCGGAGAGCTAGGATGTGCAAAATACCAGCAACATTCACTGAGGAATGGGCTGTTGTGTTGATCAGCAGACGTAACCATAAAACTGAAAACCCCTACAGGTGCTATTTAATGTAATATGTCATTTACGGGAAGAAGCAGTACAGACTCACACCTATTTGTCTGCCTCAAATTATGTTCTTGAAATGTATTTCATTTCCGAGACGTGGGTAAAGAGGAATTTTACAGGAATCTTGTATCATTTTTTGCACTGATCTATTCTCAGAGGCCTTTTAAAAGTGAGTGCTCAAAGCACTCTTGGACTCATTTTTTATGAGTTAAACGAGGTAGAAGGAAAAAAGGACTTTATAAAATAACTGACCAGGGTTCTGTTCTGGTCCCTAAGGTTGGTGTAGGGGCCACAGGTGGACATTTCCCCTCTCTGCTGTCCAGATTTCTCATCTATAATGTCAGAGAAGGGGACCAAGTGGCTCACATTTAAAAACTGTCTGATGCTGAGGCTATTCACTCAAACACTCAGATAGCTACACTTACCTCTGCTAAGTCACAGCTGTTTAAAAGAATGAATAGGAAACCAAACAGAACTTAAAGCAAATCACATAGAAAAATATTAAACTGTGCTTGTCATAATATTAGCATTCAGTGTATTTTACAGTATTCTAATTCTTTAAAAATAAGGAAGAATTACTTTTATTCTGTTAATACAACAGTGGATGAATAAGAGCCTGTTATTTCTTGACCATGTCAAATCAGAACTAAGAGGCATTGGAAGTACATGGAGAAATGACCTAGACTATCCTAACAGAGACTGACCTTGAAACAGGAATTGTGGCAGGAGGGTAGTATTTTTCTTAATTTTTTCCTAAGATTATAGGTTTTTTCTTCCGTTATACCAGTCATTTAAACCTGGGGTGATTTTATCCCCATGGGGGTACTGGAGACATTTTGGTGCTCACAACTGGAGGGGGACGCTACTAGATTCAGAGAGAAGGTAGAGGCCAGGGACACTGCTTAACATGCTACTGTGCACAGGACGGCAGAGCTGTCCAGTCCACGGTGTCAACAGTGCCGACCTTGAGAAGCCCTGCTTCATATCAATGGCACCCAGATAGGTGGGAAACAATAGGACTCGACTGTCTTGCCTATTGAACCAGCCACCTGTGTTAGGGTCACAGTAGCCACACATATGCTATGGAGAGGATGGGGACACACTAGGACAAGCAGCTCCTGACCTCATGCTTTTATTTTCCTGACGCTCGGCCCCTGTCCCCAAGATGGCAAGTTATTTGCCCAAGCAAGAAAAGAATCAGCATTTTCTCAATTGTTAACATTCAGGTTACCACCTAATAATCACAGTAACTACAATTCCTGAGCTTAATGTGGGCCAGTTTTTATACCAAGTTTTCTAACACGATGAGCACTATGATAATTTTCATTTTGTTTTAGGTGAGAAAACTGAGACTCTCAGAGATGAGGTAATTGGCCAAAGTCCAATGGCCAGTAAGTTAAGCCATGTCATGATGTAAATCAGGTCTAGATCTCGGGCTTCATGCTTTTAACTTTCTCTACCATCTATGAGACAGAGAGAAAAAGAGGGTAAATAGCTTTGAGAAATACTATCTGGACAACACTGTAGGGTGAAAAAATCCCTGACGTTTTACTGTAATATGGGAATTTTAATGGAATCTCTATAAGATTAGCTGAAGTTTGAAGGTAAGGCTCCACTGACTAAATGTTACACGGTATTGCAGGCAACATAATTCAACCTATGGTGAATGGGTCTTCACTAAAGATGTCACTAGCTGGGGGAAGGGTGGTTTGGAGGCATGAAAGTTTCCTGTTGTTGTTGTCACAGTCACTGGAGAGAGGGGTGGTTATGAGCAGACGAGGTGAGAAGGATGCTAACCCTTCGTGCAGCCTGAGAGACAGTCCTGCACAGCTAAGACCTGTCCCACTCGATTATCAACACTGTCTGCCAGGAACGCTTAGGTAATGAAGGTCTTCTGCACGTTGGCTGATGACCCAGAAGGCATCCACCTTCCCAGCATAAACGGACTCTGCACAACAGAAGCCGTCTCACCTTCAGATGGTAGATGTGCTCCTCGGTGTCAAGGTCTATGCATTTGGATGACTTCTTTACAGACATCACTGAGAGGCCAACGTCAATGCAGCCGTGCAGCTTCTCTCTCTCTATCTGCAGAGGGACAAAGAGGGCCACTCAAGAACCTTGGCCTGCCACTCCTCTCCCTCGCCTCCCCAATCCCTCAGTGTGAAGCAGTACCGACTTCAGAGCTATGCACGCACGGTCTTCTTTAATCTCTGGGTAGTAGAGTGGGGTAGTAAGGGGGTAACTAACAGGCAGTTTACCCAGCCAGGAAGGTAGGATAGGGGAGAGCAAATCCCAAGGTTGACTCCCTCGGCAGAGAATTCACCCGTTGACTGCACTGCCTCCTGCTGAATTAGTTTCTAGTACAGCAATTCTCAACCTGTGGGTCGTGACCCCTTTGGGGGTCAAACGACCCTTTTCCAGAGGTCACCTAAGACCATCCTGCAGATCAGATATTTACATTACGATTCATAACAGTAGCAAAATTACAGTTATGAAGTAGCAACAAAAATAATTTTATGGTTGGGGGTCACTACAACATAAAGGGTTGTAGCATTAGAAAGGTTGGGAACCACTGTTCTAGTCTCTAAATTCATTTAGAGGTGATTTAAAAGGAAGGAGTGTAGGGAGAGGCTAGGAAAGGAGGCAAAGAGGGGAGAAGGATGCCTATGTGGGGCAGAACTAATGGCCATCAGACCCATTTCCTAGTGTCAACTAGAAGAGGAACTTCTCCTTCCCCCGGGGCTTTCATTGCCCCTCAGTCGCTGTAAGACTGGGAGTGACACTCACCCTGTGTTTTGTTCCTGTTCTCTAGCTGTGAAGAAATCCTCTCCCACCCACAGAACTCCGCAGGTACAGGTCCCAGACCAGGACAAACCTTTGGTTATCCAAGGGGGTATGGGAGGAGTCGCTGCACCTTTCCCAGGTGGGCAACTGAGCCTACCTAGATCCCAGAGCTAAGAGCTGGCACCTCAGTTCCACCTTGGAGAGACTAGGAACTCCATGCTTTCTAGATCAGAGATGTGTAATCATCACCTGTTCCATTCTCATCCCTGGGCTGACAACAATTGCCCTTCTGAACTGCTCAACAGTACATTGCACCCACAAGAAGACTTACATCAGTTTGGCTCTTGGCATATTTCAAGATTCCTTTGTCCAGATAGAAGAATCTCTGTGGAAAAGAAAGTACTAGTCATTAAAACGTTCCATTTAGGCTCGGCGCCTGTGGCTCAAGCGGCTAAGACACCAGCCACATATACCTAAGGTGGCGGATTCAAATCCCCAGCCCGGGCCCGCCAAGCAACAATGATGGCTGCAACCAAAAAAATGGCCAGGCGTTGTGGCGGGCACCTGTGGTCCCAGCTACTTGGGAAGCTGAGGCAGGAGACTCGCTTGAGCCCAGGAGTTGGAGGTTGCTGTGAGTGTGATGCCATGGCACTCTACCCAGGGGGATAGCTTGAGGCTCTGTCTCAAAAAAAAAACAAAACGTTCCATTTAAACATCCTTGGTCTCAACTTTCCCCTTAAAATTAAATGTAAGTGCCTAAGAACTGGGTACTCAGCATGGTACAAATAAAATGAGGCCAAAACAAATGTCTTACCTTGTGCCAGCCTTTTAAGGGCCATTTCCTCTTTTTCAGCAAAAATCCTTTCTGAATTGGTGGCTCTTGGGTGTAAGTCATCTCCCCCCTCAGTCCTTCCACCACTTCCCAGCTGTCCTGTTCCAACAAAAGAGTCCACGTTAATTGTTTACCTTAAAAAATAATAACAATAGTTTGAAGAAGCACTTGATCCTATCACTAAATCCATTCAACACAGTGAGTTGGCTGGGTTTGTTGTGGAGAAGAAATTCAAATTTAATTCCCACCCAGTCTCTGGACTTTATAGATGTAAAGCTATAATTGAGTGGCACCAAATTTGATTTTTTTAGAACTGTCTTTTAGGAGAGAATGGTTTTCTCTCTTTTGGTGTATAAAACTTAACAATCAGAGCCAAAGGTGAAGATTTTACCTTAGTTCTATTTTTGTTCACTTTGACATCAACACACAATTACTGTTCATTCATTACTAGACTTCTGAAATCCACTTGGTAGGAATAATGATTTAGTTGAAAACTAACATTCACAAATGCTAGGTATTTAAATATCAGAAATCCTTAAGCACTAAAAGGATGGTTTTGCAACAAGTACTATCATCCTTTTTTCCTAACAATTTGGTTTTTCCCTCTTTCCTTTGTTTTAAAAACTTTTCTATCTTGGTCAATTATTACAAATACTTGTTATAATCAATCTTCTCTTGTTGGCCAACTAGTTGAAAAAATGCTAAACGTTTTAAAAATTTATTTAAAAATACATAAATCATTGCTATATTACCCTCAGATAAACCAAAACTGGCAATACTTTAGTGACTGGAAGAGCCATATTTATGGTTGTTATAATTTTTACATTTCTAACTGGGATGTAATATAGATGACATGCACAAATCTTAAGAGTACAACTCGATGAGTTTATTTATCTATATATGCACTTAGTAACTAACTATCATCCAGATCATATACAACCTGTTTCCAACAGAGAGTAATTAAGTTTTGACAAGCATGCCATTTTGGCCAAAATTTCACATTGACTAACTTGCTGTGAGTCAAATCTCTAGCCTACCAGCAGGTGGCACAACCAAACACCAAAAGTATAAGGACATAGATGGTAAATCTGGACCAGCTCCAGGGAGTAGAAGGTAGACTAACGTCCTGGGACGCGGGACCCAGGCAATCTAAAAGTGTGGCCATGGAAACCACTAGAGAGTCTTGAGAGGTTCTAGCTCAATTTCTATTTTGTTCTCAAGTTCAATGCCTGGGACCCACCTGGTAACAAGAACCTTTTCCTACTTTATACTATACTGATTCTGACAGACTTGCCTTCTTTCTGATGGCATTTACTCTGAATGGAGTGAAAGGTTTTTCCAGAGTTTCGAAATACTATGGTGGAATGCCAAGATTGGGGGTTGTGAAAGGAATTTCTTCAATGGGAAAAAACAAAGCTTAGAAAAAAGATTTAGCTTTTAAATTTGACGATTTTTTTCCTAGAAAGGTAGCAATATTGAATAAGACTTCTTTATAGCAATTATTACCAGTTATTCAAAGTTGCTTAATTTCAATCAGACAATAAATGGAGAATGTACACTCCTAAGTGATGAGAGGCCACTCTTCCCAACACTTAAAAACACACACACACACAAAATCCTGCTCAAGTTTATTTTAACTCAGAACGCTATTCCTCAAAATTTAACATGTTTTACCTGCCTAAATGTTAATGAATGTCTAAGGTCCTCTAGTTAAAAATTCTACCTCCCCCAGAGGAAGGTACCATTTCATCCCTAAAGAATCCATCAGTTTTGTACCTTATTTTGCAAAGGTTTACCTCATGTATGATAATATCCATGAGGTGTTACCATCCTCGTGGGACTAGAAGCTCCTTGAGAGTGTAAAGGGTCCAGTTTTCTTCTGATTCCCTCAGAAGGCCTGCCCTGTTGTCCTGTCCATGGTATGGATTTGACTGGAATACGGTTGCAGATTTATATTCTTGGATATTACACATTGGTGCTCATTTGAAGTAGGCCCATTACTTTTTGACCCAATAACATTTTACAAATTCGCAACACACTCATATGAAAGTGGGGGTGGGGTGTGTGTTGTTGTTCTTGTTAAATAAAAATCCAAGGTTCAAAATCCTCAGGAAAGCATTCTGAGTGGATCAAGCCTTTTTGACTTGTTTGTTTTCAGACTCCCCAACAAAGGCAACCTGCTGAGTTTAATACTAAACAATCCGGCACATCTGCTCAGGATAGTCCACTGTGTACTGTGCAAATGCCAAGAGGGATTAGAGGGTATTGCATACTTTACAAAACTGAAGAAAAAATAGATGAGATCATGCCTGCAGTTTAAAAAAAAAAAATCCAAGAATTAAATCTCAAAACTGTTTCAAGGATTCATGTTTGAACTAGATTTCTCCTGAACTCTTGAGACACGGTACATTCCTATCCGTGAGCCAATGTGGAAGGCAGGGAACTAGAGTTTCTTGGCCATTCAGCTAAAAAAGGGGCTTGCATTTTTTTTTTTAACAAAATATCATATTTTCCTCATTTTATCTTCTACCTGGGCTTAGAATATGAAACTGTTTCCAGGTTGGAAAAGCCAGATTTGAAGTATTTTTAAAAAGTGGAGGCCTTCCTGGACCGAGGAAGAAAGCAACACAGCCAATTTCTTTTCTGGATTCAACATCCAAATCTTCCCCCACCCAGCTTCCCTCTCTGTCACTGTCACGAAGTGGAAACCTGAAGGCCATCATACAGCCTGGTGGTTCTCACGGGCGCTGAGACTGCTCCCTCGAGGCACGATGGACTCCTGGGGGCACTTTTGGGTGTCCCAGTGTTAGAGGGATGACTCTAGGATCTGACAGCTGGGAGCCAGGAGCGTGAAATGTCCCGCAATGTCCTGATCTTGCACAATGAACAAGCTGCCTCACATACTAAAAGACTTTCCAAAGTGCTATTAGACGCTTTTGTAGGTAGAAGTGTGCTAAAAATCCCTTGAGCGTACCGAGCTCTATTTCACACACATACGGAGGTATTTGTGCATGGTTTTCTGTACTCCAAATTTTTGAGACTGCACGTACTAATTAACGGGAAGACTCAGCTCTTTTTGGAAACTTACCAAGCGTTGCCCGCCATTTTAGAGAACATTGCTGAAGACCATGCCATGTGAGTTATTAACACAACACACCAGAATCGTCTGCATTTGTAGCTGTTCTTCCCATATAAAGGTTTATCTGACCCCTTCTTCTGGTACAGTCACGTGTAGGCTTTTATGTATTGAAATTTATGTTTTAATATTAACCATATTCTTTGAATTTTCCTTTATATTGTAGTAAAGCATGATGTTGATGTTTTCAAGATTATGTGTTCAAATATATTAAATTAATAATGAATTTTGAGGAGAGTAAAACAGTCATTAAAATATTGCTCATAACAAGGGGATACTATTAAAGAGGATGATTAGGTTAGAACTGCTGATGAACCTGGCACAAATTCTCTGTACTGTTTTAAACCAGGCCAGGATTCCACATAGATTGAAAATTGTGAGGGCTTCTGGGTGCAGTGGCTCACATCTGGAATGCTAGCATTCTGGGAGGCCAAGGCAGGTGGATTGCCTGAGCTCAGGAGGTTAAGACCAGCTTGAACGAGACCCCGTCTCTAAAAATAGCCAGGCACTATGACAGGTGTCTATACTCCTAGCTACTCAGGAGGCTGAGGCAGGAGAATCACTTGAGCCCAGGAATTTGAGGTTGCTGAGAGCTACAATGCCATGGCACGTTACCGATGGTGACAAAGTGAGACTCTGTCCCCCTCCCCCCAAAAAAGAAAGAAAGAAAATTGTGAGGGTTCTAATATTTTCTTATAAGCAAGTCTTATTGGTTTCATCTTCACAATGTATTTTCTCTGTCCCATCCCTCATGCAATATAAACAGGCATATGACATAATGTTTGTCTTTATTTCCACTTCGGTGACTTACTTATATTGTTCCAGCCTCCCAGAATCATCTCTTGATCTTTTCCACCCACGAAAACTCTTCAGGATTTTAGTGCAGTTTCTACCTTCTTCCACAAAAATTCTTAAATTATACAAACCACATTAGTCATATATTCCTATAAATTACAATAGTTTTGGTTTTATTTTTATCTCCAGTGCTTTGGTCTTTTCTTCCCAAACCATTGTACGGATTATCTTTTCAGTTTGCTGAGAATGCCAGCAAAGTACCAAGTACATAGTAGGTACTAAATGAATTCCCCTGGTTTATTAATTGTTGAAGTCTCAGTAAATGGCACAGCGGAGTGGGCCTGTGATATTAAGCTGTAACCTCAACACCATACAGTATGCCATGGAGAACACAAAACACTAGTGCTTCAGGAGATACTATACAGTAGGGTCGATGGAAATAATACAGAACTACAACAATATAAACAACACAAAATGATTGCAGAACACTTTCTAGCTCAATGAAAGTCTTGTTCCCTTCTTAATAGTGTACTGTAGATACCAGTACATGAAAATATGGTGAAAAAATAATTATTATAACCAACATTTATTAAGCACCTTCTCTATGTCAAGTAGTGTACTAAAACCGTACTTATATTCTCCTGCTTAATCTTTGCACATGTCAAGGTTGGATTTATTAGTAAATCTTTATTTTTAAATGTGGATCACTTCTTCTCTGATGTTATAAAGATACCAAATGGACTTCAGAAGCTATATATATATATATATATATATATTTTTTTTTTTTTTTTTTTTTTTTTGAGACAGAATCTCACTCCGTTGCTCTGGGTAGAGAGCCATGACAACATAGCTCACAGCAACCTCAAACTTATGGGCTCAAGTGATCCTCTTCCCTCAGCCTCCCAAGTAGCTGGGACCAGAGGAGCCCACCACAATGCCTGGCTAGTTTTTCCATTTTGGTACAGAGGGGTCTCATTCTTGCTCAGGTTGGTCTTGAACTCCAAGCGCAAGCAATCTACTCACCTAGGCCTCTCAGAGTGGTAAGATTAGAAGACTGAGCCACCATGCCTGGCCAGAAGCTGCTACATTTTTTTTTTTGCGGTTTTTGGCTGGGGCTGGGTTTGAGCCTGCCACCTCTGGCACATGGGTCCTGCATCCTACTCCTTTG